GGCCCCCGCCCCCTGCGCCCGCACCGCGCCCGCACCACACTGCGCCCGCACGCCGCCGGCGCATGCGCGGGAGGGCGAGGGGGCTTCACCCTGCGCTGCCCTGCCCGGCAGGGGTCCCAGTGCGACCGCCCGACCACGCAGCCCCTGGGCGCACATGCAGGCTTGCACAGGCACATGCACTATGGGCGCACACGGCCCCCCGGGGGATGCATGGGTGTGCATTTGTCTGTGCATGTATAGGCAAATCTGTACCTGCACATAGATACACACGCGCATATGTACATATACATACACGCTGGCATACGTGGACATGTACATTCACATGTGCATGTACAGAGACATAGCCACACATATACACACATGCATATAGGTGTGTACATGCACACACAGACAGGCATATAACCACACATGCACCTATACATAGACACATCCCTACATATAGACACGTGCATATACCTGTATAGATACACACATACATATATCCACACTTGTGCATACACATGTATACAGACACACACACACACATATACACAGACATATCCATACATATACACACATACATATATCTACATACACACATATGTACATGCACCACTTGTGCATATATACGTGCATACAGACATGTCCAGACATATACACACAGACAGACATATATCCATACATATACATACATAATATAGATACACTTTTACACATCCCTACCTATACACATGTATCTGCACATATATGCACATACCTATACATACACAGATATATGTACACACAATTGTTTCATGGTCTCGTGCGGCAGCCCACAGCTCCTGCTCCCCAGGCCCCAGTTACCCCAAGCCTGGGGGGCCAAGTCCCAGCTGCCTCCTGCCCACCTGTCTGGGGGCATGGACTTGCATGCCAGCAGCAGGCTAGGGTATTGTCGGGGGCTGGGGCAAGCCCCTGCAGCAGGGGTAGTCAAGGGTGGGTATAAAAAATAAAGCCCCCACACACAGCTGCATGCAACCCTGTAGCAGGTGGCACTGGGCATATAAAAGCACACAGTAGGAGTATGGACACAAACAGGCAGTAAGAGTTACCCTGTGGCAGGCCTGGAGGCATGGTACAGCTCAGGGCCACCTGCTGCGGGGATGCCCGGCAGTTCTAGAAGTGGGCAGCTCAGGCTTTGCCAAACATCAAGTTACCCTCTGAGGTGAATCTCCCTGCAGGGCTCCATCCAGATCCTGCCCCAAAGCAAAGCAGCAGGGACAAACACTTCCCTGGAAGATGCCCTTGGGCTTCCAGGGGAAAGTGGACAAGATGCTGGGGGGGAGGTATTCTGCTTCAATCACCTAAATCAGGGGTGGTCAACCCGTGGCTTGCCTGCCTTCCACAAGCAGCACAGGCAGGCTCTGTGAGTGGCACCCAGCAGATCAAGACTGTGCAGGCGAGACTGTGCAGGCAACACAGCAGCAGATCCAGCAGGGGAAGGGGACTGGAGCGGCACTCCTGCAGGGTGAGGTACTAGTTTATGACTTGTCTGCCAGAATGGTTGGCCCCCAGTCACCTTCTGGCAGAGCAGCGGAGAGAGGAGTCCCTCCTGGGGAACCTGCACTGGTGGGGCTGCCCCTGCAGGGGGGCTAGGATAGTGGGAGCTGTGCAGGAGTCTCAGGCTGCAGGGCAGTTTTTCAGCTGGGGGTGGGGGAACCCTGTTCCAAATGGGGAACTCACTCTGCAGCCCTGCAGAGTTTCAGCTGGAGGGAGGGTGAAAGAGGAGACAAATCTGTACCCACCTATTTAGCACAAGATCTTAAGCACCAGGGAGCTCCTTATCTGATGACAGGGGCTCCCCTTCACTCCCAAACGAAATCTCTGGATCACTTCATTCTATGAGCAGCATCAAGACCTTGAGAGAGGCAGAGATCTCCTCTCCCCGTACCTCAGTGCTCACCCCAGTGACCAGAGTGTGCCTTCTTGCATGGTCCTCCAGCTTCGAGCACAGGTACGAGCAGGGCTCAGCCAGCTCGCTTGGTCCTGGAGTTAACAACCTGTTAAGGGGCATGATATAGATTCCACTTCTCAGTTACTGCTTCAGGCTGTCTGCAGACTCAGGCAGACACCTCTGCACTGGTTACACCCCATCACATTTTCATGCTTTGCTTTACAGCCTGGAGAGCTAAATATCTAGCTTTGGGATCATTGCTAAATGAAAGTTGGGATTCCAACATTATCACATGCATCCAAGAGCTGATTCCAGGCGTGGGCCAATAGTTCCCATGCGCTGCACCAGCTCGTATTTAATAGAGCATACGGTATGTTGGCCAGTTCTTACAGCAGTAAGAAAAGAAAAAGCCTTTCACCTCATTTTTGCTCCTTGTTTTCAGTTCTATGGCAAAAGTGAATTATGTGTTTGGAACCAAAAAATACATGTGTTCTCAACACGGGCTTTGTCTGCACAAAAATGTACCCTGTTGCAGGCTCTCTGAGGCCCCTTGGAGAACAGGAGGATTGTAAAAGAAGCCTCTCTCGAGAGCTTCAGTGTAAAACCAGGCAGAAGGTACCTCTTCCTGGTGTTGTCTTGGTTGAGTAAAATCTGCCGTGGCTTCGTCCATTCACAGAAAGCACTGGGTCATTTTACAGAAGTATGTCTCTCCCTGTTAGAAATGGGAAGTTGTGTGTATTTCCGTCTGGTGGCACTGGAAGTTTCAAGTTCAAAGAAGAGCAATATTAAGTCCCACACATGCAAATGTGCATACTGTCATTGATTTAATTGGGATTTCCTACACGTGCAAAACCAAGCATCTGCTTTTGGGGTCCAGGCATTAGAAATTATACACTTTAACATGGGTACATAGTGTTGAAAATAGCATGAATGGAGGAGCAGCATTATTATTCCTGTAGATGTTAACACTTTTAATGAACATTTTACATTGTAGGGGGTTACAACGGAATAGTTAGCATTAGCTTGCACAAGTGCTCCAGAGAGGGACCTAGCTGACTGCCGCAAGTCCTCTGAGTCTCTTTGGTAGTCACTTGGACACTCTAAGTGTAAAAGTAGGGTCCTCCATATCTTTGCTAGTTGCACATGACACTGCCTCTTAATATGCTTATGCCCTGATCCTGCAAACACTTAAGCACATGTTTAACTGTGCACATGCAAGTAGTTCTTAGTGGAACTGCTCACATTCATAAACTTAGGCACATGCTTTGTGTAGGTATGTTCACTGCCATGCTTACAGGTATCCAGGTTGTAGGTAGCCCTATTGGTCTAGAGGAAAAAGCTATCAGGACATGTAGTAAAGATGATATCTTTTATTAGACCAACAAGATTTTTGCAAAAAAAATTCTTTAATTGCAAGCTTTTGGACACAAACATCCTTCATCAGGCATTGGAAATAAGATAGTAAAAGTTCTCCTTGGTAGAAATGAAAGTTCATGTTTCATAGGATTTCACAGAGGAGTCAATAGATGAAAAACTCCTCTGGGCAGGCAGTTCATAGCTGGTATGAAGTCTCTCACCTCCTGTGAGGTTCTGTGATGATGCAAATTACCTCGAAGCAAAGGCAGGAGCAGGATCTCATGTTTCAGGTGGTCACAGTTGTTTCCTGCTTGGGAAAATAGAGCTTCTGCCATGCTCACAACCTTTATGGTGTGTGAGTTTGAGTTTTGGAACTGTGTATTATAGTAGCTGTTTGCTCATGGCCGCACTGGATTTGCTCACTATTTATTTAGGCATTATGCTTATCACCTCCTCCCTAAAAGCTTTAATCCTACATTCTTCCATTTCCAGTCTGTTTCCAGTTCTTCTTCATTTCCAGTCCTAAAGTTTGCCGTAGTGTTCCTGGGGCTGGCAAACATTCACTCATTTGTGGCTTGCTAGCACATACTGTGCGTTTCAAGCAGGTCTGCAGCAGGGCTTTAAGCAAAAGGCTGCTCGACCTGTTGGGCACTTTCCACTGCTCCAGAAATTCAAAGTGATCTTTCCCACAGTATCTGTGACTCAGATACACAGCATATAATCATTACACTTCTATAGGTGGCTTCACCCAAGCAACTTGAAGTGCTTTGCAAACACAGTGTCTTAAGCCTCCCAACTGCTGTGGAAGGTAAAGCTACTTTATAAAGGATGCAGAAAGGTTAAGCGATTTGCCTTGTCACAGAGCAAAACACTGGTAGAAGCGCACAGAGAAGAGAAGTAATGTCAATGGCACAATTCTCATTAACTTAGTGAAGTCAGAATTTTACTTTAGAAGTCCTTAACTCCCACCCTGCACTCCA